GAGCGTGGCAACAGATTGTCGTGACATGCGAAAGTTTGCCTTCCATTCATCGTCCAGAACAGCACCATTAACAAAGTTGTCCCATCAGCTACTGGTTCTGCCAGGCCTCACCCAAAACCTTCGCCTGGTTGCCCTGCGGGTCCATTTCCGTGGTTCAGTCAAATTGAGGTGATGAACTATGTCGTCGATATTGCTCTGTTCTTCCTGGAGATATTCCAGAAGAAGAAGATTCTGCTGTAAGCCTGACAGCAGGGTGAGTAGCATGAGCAGCGACCATTCAACACAGTACGGCTCCATTGTTGTTGTGATACTGTGTCGCGCATGCGTGTTTAGAGGCGACGCTATGACGCATGCGTGTAGGAAAAAAAATGCGGCCACTTTATCCATAGTGCCTGAGGCAGAAAGGTCCATAAAAGTCCACAAAAAACGTGTCAATATTCCTCCATACTGCTCGTCCAATGTATTCCAAGTGTTCTGAGTGGGTAGCGTCCATAATTACTCGAAACGAAGTCATTTAGAATGTTTTTAGAGCATAAACAGTAGTGTATAGGATTTCCTGAAAGCGCGCACCTGCGAGTTCACGACTCTGCGGAAACCGCGGCAGACCAAACCAGATGAAAGTGCGCATTCAGCGTCTGCTCTGCTGATAATGCCAGCATAGAAGAAGAAATGTGCTGTTTACCTGTGCAAAGAAAGAAACAACGAAAGAAAAATGTCTGAGGACTTCAGTGTTGAGGAAGAGCATGAGTTCTTTGCCGAGCTGAATGCGCACTTTCATCTGGTTTGGTCTGCCGCGGTTTCTGTTATTCACTAAGGATTTAAACACTGATATAACATTAGTGTTCACGTGTTCCTCAGATGCTCATTACATTTCCATTACCAAGTATGACCAAGAGTCATTTAGTGGAATCCTGATGTCTATTCGCTGCTAGCTATTTCAAAGAGGGTAAAGAATCATTTAACTAAAGGTTTTTGGTTCTTGATTAAGCAAATCATTCAATAAAACATTATTTGGCCAAATAATGTTTTATTCCCCTCATGGATTTGCATTGTGAATTGGTCTGAAAACATTCCAATTTCTTTGAAATTAGTGAAAAGCTAATTTGATCATGTCCCAAATTATTCCAGATAAACTTTGGTTTCAAACACAGAATCCATCTTAAACTGTAATATGTTTTTCAACTGTTTTCCCCTTCCTCTTTGTACATAGTAGTTAGTTTAGTTTAGTTGAGTTTTGCTAGTCTTAGTTGAGAGTGTTAAACTGGAATACGTTTGACGTGGAGCTGAATGATTTTTGTTAATAAAATCTTATATTTTGAACAGAAGTTGTGGTGAATTCATTCCATGTATGTGCAGAAATAACTGTTTGACCATGATTAGTGCTCCAATCACTCTTTCATCTATTGTTCTAACACACAGTTAGTAGGACTGTGTGTCATAAACACTATATAACAGCTTAAATAATATCTGATTAAATAAGATATTTTACCCCCCTACAGGGGAGGGCAATAAACATCTTAAAGTATCAGAAACATAAATTCCCAGCGGGCTGGGAATAGAATTTAACTATAGAATCACAACAGTTTAATGAAATTATCTCGTTCTCTATTCATCTGACAGGATGAAAGGTGCTGCTTTATATCCACTGATAATCAGTGATGAATGTTGGGTAGAAACAGGTTCTCATTGGGTCATAAAATGATTCCCACTAGTTATCGTGGCTCTATTTACATTCAGCTCTGCAGCCAGTTTTCCAACTATCACTCCAATCAGATTCAGCTTCTTGAACAGAGTTGGAGTTTTTTAACCTCCACTAACTTCCTGCTTTCAGAGACGTTTTTGTCATGATCTGGCCTGTTGGCTCCTCCTTAATTAGTCATTCCTTTCACCTGTCGTTTTCCCTCCCTGCCTAAATTATAATGTATTCCTCTCACCTGTGTCCTCTTGGTTATATTCAGCTCAGCCTGAGCATTCAGTGCCAGATCATTATTTGTCTTTCTGTTAGCCTGTCCGTTAGTTTTGTTCCTTGGTTCGTGTCCTGGATCCTAGCTGCCAGTGGAGAGAGCGTTTTGTGTCTGTCTCATCTCCTAATTGTCCACTGTTCCTCCCCGCGCGGAGTCCTCTGGATTTTTGGCTCTATATGTGGGGAGGTTCAGTTTTTATCCCAGTAAGCCTGGCTCCAAGGTGGAGACCAGTTTAAAGGTCTTGCATCAAGTTCTGGTTCCACGTCCAGTCTCGGCTACCCTCTGCCACTGCGCCTGCTCATCTGCACCTGATCCTGTCTGCTCCTGTGCGTGACCACCTGGTCACGCTTCCAGACCCTGTCAGACTCTGAACCCTCCTGGGAAGTTGTGGATGCCTGGAAGTCTGGATCCTGCAACCCGTTCTGTTCCTGATTGATCTGGATCCTGTTCCATCCTGTCTGTTCTGGATCCCTGACCAGGATCGCCTTCCAGCATCACCTCTGGGACTGCAGCACTGGGGACATTCATGGACTTGACTGTTAAACCAGGTAAGTGGCAAACTCAGATAATCATCTTCTGTCAGATGATCTTGGTCACTTACCTGTTTCTCCTGCAGAAAGTCTGAGATTGGGCGGTGCCCCGCTCCCCATCCTGCAGTACCTGCGGGCCACAGCTCCTCTTTAGTTTTTGTTTTATTTAATAAACTTTTTTTGAACTTTCCTACTGACTGTCTCTCCTTGAATACTGGGTCCATCTGTCCAGCTGTAAGGTCTGAGCTCCTCTCTCACCTGCTGTCTTTACTGATCCTCCATTTCCTTCCACATCCACATCCATCAGTCGCGAACCCTCGAATAATATATTTAGAATGAAAATGTAAATATAAAATCAGGGTTGTTTTAAAAAAAATTACCTGCTTTGCTAATATATTGTCCTTCAATAACATCAGTACAGAAATATCCTTCCAGAGCTTCACAAACTGTATCTGATGATCGTGAACATTTGATTTTTAGCCTCAGACCAGAACCTGCAAACATTGAACAAAGTTATAATGAGAGAAAACACTGATACTGAGATTAGCTTTTTTATTATTTTCCTTGAACCTTAAAGACCATTCTCACCACTGTGCTTCTCTCTTTGTATTTTCTTTTCTTTAAATTTTTAACCTTAAGACTTTAATATAAGATAAATAGGTAGTGCATTGGTTTTCAAGAAAAGTGAACAAGAACCCGAGAAGGAAACAGAAGTAGACCAATAATTCTCTGGGTTACCAGCAGGGGGCAGCATGTTGAGGAGCGTGTAGCCCAACTATTCTTCACATAAAGCATCAGAATCTGAATGAGCCACAAAACCAACTAGATTTAGCTGACTGAGCAGTGGAATAAAAAAACAATGTCTGGGGAAGCATGTTTATCTGTTTCACATTGATTTGTAGTAAGAGGGACAAAAATGGCAAAAATAAATCTGAAAGTAAATTATGAAAAAGACTATTTTTGTTGTATTTATGCATTTTTATTATGTTTCCACTTTTTTGTGCATGTACACATTTATTAATTCATTTATTTCTACTTTTATTCTTTAATCCCCATATAATTTTTTTTTATTTCTAAATTTCCACATTTATTTATTTCTAGATTTCTGTCTCTGTTTGTTAATGAGGTTGGTGGTTCTAACATTTATCTTCAGCGTGATTGGTTTACTGGGTGAATTAGACAGAAACTATTTATACATGGATAAATAATATTGCATAAAATGGAAAACAGGATTTAAACGGTTACCGGAAAGGGAGCCTGTATTAATTAGTGGAATCAAAATACAAATAATATAATGTATCTATGGAATTTGTTCTACTTAACAGTGGCTAATGAGACCTTATATGCAGCCTGTTTGTTCATTTTTCTAAAATCTCTGTCCTCCTCGGCTCAGCTCAGCATCTCTGAGTAGCAGAAAAAACAGAAAAATATTCTGGCCAACAACTGAGGCAGCGCGGGCAGAGCCTTCAGCATCAGCAGCTGAGAAGCAAGTAGAGACACAGCAGGTGAAAGATGATGAACAGTAGAGCAGGAGGAGAAGGTTCAGTTCCAGGTTTTCTCTGAGGTCATGATGTGATGGTCTGTTAGGATTTATTCAGACATCCTTCTGCTCTGCATCCATGTATGAATCGTTTGCTTCTGTCTGACCCTCCCAGTTAACCAATAATGCTAAAGACAAATATTAGAACCACAGAGACAGAAATGTGGAAATAAAAATAAATAGTAGTAGAAATAAATGAAGGAATAAAAAATTGTTTCAAAAGGAAAAAAACAAACAAAAATAAATACATAGAGAAATACAACAAAGCAAAATTTAATTATTTTAGTTTTATAAAATTTTATGTGTATTTATATATATAATGGTGCATACTTATATTCATTTCTATATTCTTTATCTGTTCATTTATACATTCATATCTGTATTTATTCATTTTCTTTCCTCATTCATTAACCTTTCCTCAACTTTAACCAAGCCCACACCTTCAAACGTTTGTTTAATGCTGCAGCTGGAAACACAGAATAAAAATAAAATCAAGGTAGACACCCTTTTTCTGTCTGCAGGGAGGGAGCAGCTTTAGGAGTTTAAAGGGATAGTTCGGGATTTTTGACATGAATCTGTAGGGCATCCCCATCACCAGTGTCATGCAATCACACTGACTTACCCCTGGCAGCATCCTGTGAGCAGAGTTCTCGTCCAGCTTTGGTCAAGCCGAAAGTAGTCCGGCAGGTTTGCTAGACCCAGAGAAATAAAACGTTTCTCTTCCCAAAACATTATGTGTTCAAAAGAGTGATATTTTTGCATCCCAAAAACATTGTAGTGGAAAAAGTCACATGTCGTTATCACTTGGTCCTATTTTCTCTCTGTTCGTATCAGTGCGCGCCGTCATTCAGACAGCGAGCTCAACTTTTTCAGCTCATTTCAGTGCTAACTTAGCAGCTGCGTTTACAAGCAACGCCACCGAGCTAGCTTTAGAGCTAACCAAGTTCATTAGACATTTACAAGATAGTATTTGATTATATTTATATAAAGCCGGGTGTGTAAAAATGGTGAAGGCTTGCGATTATCCTGGTTGTGCCAACAAAGATGATGGTAAATCGACTCTCAGTTTTCATCGTTTTCCTCTGACGGACGTTGCGGTCAGGCAACTTTGGCTACTCGCTGTGGGATTCCATGTTGACACCAGACTGGCAAAAATTAAAAAGCTCCGAGTTTGCAGTGCTCACTTCAGCGAGGACGACTATGCGTCTTCATGCCCAAGACATACGAAGAAAAGGATTTTGAAGAGCTCTGCTGTTCCTGCAACACTGGTAAACAAAACTACAAATTATTTTATGTAGCAGCCGTGCGTAGCCTAACGGTGATGCGCCAGGGTTATGCAAAAGCGTGTTGAGAATATTAATCATAAAACATAATCAATCACTCGGTGTCATAGTATTAGTGATGCTTACTAAACAGGGCTGTTTCAATCATCTGCAACTATGATTACGCTGACGTACGAGTAGGCTACCTACTCCATGGTTTCAGTCAGTGTACAATCTGCTAGAGGGCTCTAGGCTGTGACAAACTGGGCTGTCGGTTTCAGCTACTAACTCTCGAAGTAGCAGACCAGGGACGTCCGGAGCTCTGTATTTTAATATTATTTCGGTGCGCAAAGGGACTTCAATTTTGACTCATCTGCGTCTTCCTTGAAGACAAAACTTCTAAAAGTTTGCCGAGTACGCAGGTCTACCCTGGTTTAGTTGATGAGAGGCAGCCCAGTGTGACGGTATTCTGCTGTCGTCGGCCATGAGCATCACAAAGCCTTGAGTGAGTCCCACACGTGCTGTTTGCATGAAGTGCCATTTGGAAACAGGTCAAAACAGGACATGAAGAACACAAAGCTTTTTCTTTGAAATTGGATAAATGTATTGACCACTCTGAAAGACAAAGTGCTCCTTAGTGAAATTCTGCATAAACATATGTCACCGTTATTTGTAGAAAGTGAATGCTGATGTTATGTTACTGTTACTGTTTCTAAAACCTGACTGAGATACCTGAAATCCACAATGCAAAAAATGGTGTGTTTTCAAAGGCATGTGCTCCTGTTGCAATGGCTGAAACGGCACAATCTGAGGCCGCAACCTCTGAAGAAGAGCCAGCTCTTCAGTCAACCCCCCTGAAGTCCAGATTGGACAAGCAACAGTTCCAGATGATGCTCACCAGCCCAGCTGATGCTGGTCCAAGCAAAAAGCCATCGACTTCAGGAACATACATAGCCCTACCTCCTACCGGGAGACTGTCACAGGTAAGCCCATATTTTTCTACACGTTTAGTCTGAATAAAAAGCTAACAATTTCATATGATCAAAATACTGTATGATCATGAAGCCCTTTGCACACTATAAGTAAGTGCAGCCAGTCAGCCAATTTACTGTACTTTGACTTCTCTGTATTCTTTTTCTATATTTATAGTCAGAAAACCCTAGCTCAGATGTTGCACCTGAGACCCTGGATACCACCATGACATCCATAGAGACACCTGTGGACAGAGATGACAGCACATTCCTTCCATTGAGCAGTGATGACACATCTACAAGATCATCTTCCTCAGACAACATTGCGGGAGCAGAAAGGAGAGGCGACTGGTCTGAGAGGAAATGGATTGTGAACGAGTCATGCCTAATGGAACTGTTTACAACTTGTCACACATGCGGGATATCCATTTGTGAGAAGAAGATCACCAGCCGTGGATCAAAAATTACAATAGAATGGACATGCATCAATCACCATACGGGAGTGTGGCAGTCCTGTCCTGATGTCCGTGGAATACGTGAGAACAAGGCTGATCTTCTAAACTTACAACTGCCAAAGAAAAGATCATACTATTCACTGCAGTCCACCTATATGATACCTGTTATTCAAGAAGCCTACACCGAGATGCAAGAGGAGATTTTGCCAGAACTCAGGGAAACTGAAGCTGCTGGTGGACACACAGATATCTGTGGTGATGCAAGGTGGATATTCCCATAATGGATCATGCAGTATATGTAGTTAGTTGTCCTGTTACATTATAATTCACATCAAATCATGTTTGCCATCACTCCACAAGTAACTTCCTTGTTTGTCTTCTACAGATCTGATTCCCCGGGTTACAGTGCCAAGTACACCTGTTACAGCTTTATGGAAGATGCAACAAAGAAAGTCATCATGTCAGATCTAATTCAGGTAAAGTATGAATAGTTTTGCCAAGTAAGTTATTGAGTGTGTTTTATCACTTTGTTCTGCTTTTCACAGGCCTCTCTGCATGTTTGTTCTGTATTTCCTGTTACAATGATCAATACAGGTAACTGAGGCTACCAGTTCAACAGCAATGGAGCCTGTTGGTTTCCGGAGGGGCCTGGATCGTCTGCTGGACTCCGGCGTTGGTGTTTACGTGGTTACTACTGACCGGGCTCCATCAATACGGAAGATCATGAGGGAGTCCTATCCTGAGCTTAGGCATCAATTTGACCCATGGCATGTTGCAAAAGGTACCATTAGTTGGGCATTATACACTGCTTCATTTTGTGAAATCTTCACGTTTGAACCTTTGCATAAGTCTATTGTAATGCTATTACAGTTGACAAAATAATTTATACATTTATTTTCATCTTTTATGCTTTATTTAGGTATAAAGAAGAAGGCAACTGCATTGGCAAGGAAGAAAGAAAACCGGGACCTGCAGCCATGGATCAAGTCTCTGGCAATCACTTTTGGTGGTCGTGCAGTTCTTGTGGTGGCGATGAGAAGGTGATGCTCATAGACATGTTGTTATGCATAACGCAGTACTGTTATTTCTTCAATACAACTAGTTCTTTTCATTCATGAATTTGCCAAGCTGTTTCATAGTGATGTTTTGGAGCCAACACGGCTCCAAAACAGAAAAGGAACACCACAACAATGCAATGTAACTTCAAGTTACTTACACTTCTGTGATACCAGCCTGTCCAGTTCGGAAGCAACGCTCATTGTGAATCCATTTTTCCTACTGTTGTAAAAATTTAGCAAGCAATGGTTAGAAATTAGAAATAAAAACGAAACCCTTAGAAGCTGATGATGATCTATACACGTTGAACATTTGTTTCACACAAAAGCATGTTTAGATATGAATACTCTGTGTCTAAAATGTACCTGAGAAAATTGCTAAGCAGTGTCTAATTGTCCTCAAATAGGAGTTGAAACACCGGTGGACCTCTATCCTTTACCATGTGTGTGGTATCCACCGCTGGGAAGAAAATGACCAGGAGTACAGATGTCGCCACGAAGACATCAGCGAGGAGCAACAACGACGAAAGAAATGGCTGGAAAAGGGGTGTCCTGCCTGGAACACTCTGAAGAGTGTTGTACTGGACAAAAATCTTTTGAGAGACCTAAGTGAAATGACTTTGTTCAAGCATACAGGTAAGTGTGGATAAACTTCTAGGCAGTAGGTTGAATACATTTTCCCTAAACGAGTAAGAATATCTCAAAGGGAAATATTTTTGTGTGTCACCTTTCCTTTGAGAAAACATTAGTTTTGCATAATGTAAACACTGTACTATTGTATATGTTTATTTTCTCTCAGGGGCCCTTGAAGTGTTACACAGCTCCATGCTGAAGTACGCGGAGAAGAGGCGCCATTTTACATATGTCACCATGCAGGCAAGGCTCCAGCTGAGTATAATTGACCACAACCACAATGTTGGCCGTCAGCATGACCGTACTCAATCTGGTGAGTACACACACACCCACACACCCACCCACACATACACACACCCACACATACACACACACACACACACACACAGCTATTGAAAGAAATACCATTTCAAAAACATTGTTATTATTATTGTGATTTCACTACTTATTTACAGTATGTATTGAAGTAAAAAAAAACTTGATTGTTTACTTCTATAAACCAGTGAAATGCCCAAATAATTTGTAAATAATTTGTAGAAAATCAGAAAAACAGTAGAAAATGTAGAAAACAGCAAAACTTCTATAAGTAAAACATTTGGAACGTCTGAAGTAAAATTTTTAAAACAATTGCTGTGCATCCGCTGGTTCTTTGAAACCTGCATATGGTGATGGATAAGTTCTTCTTATTAGCTCCACCACACAGGAAGGAAGAACTCTCCTGTTGCCTGGACCAAGCTTCTCTCCTTTTAGACCCCATTCCATGACGATGCGATAGGCGATCAGCCTGTACTGTCTGAAATAGTAAACAACACAAGTTGGTGCATACTTGATATGACAATACAATGTGTGTGTTGGTGAATTTGAAAGCACTTGGTCAGATGTGATGTTGTGCTGTGTTAGAATACATTTAGATAAAGTGAATGAAACAACGTTTTTATCATGAAATTGTAACATTTATAGTGTTTGGATAATAAATACTGCTTAGGACAATAGGCCTATTGTAAAGTGGGAGAGGCCTACAGACATGGTAAAGCTCAGGAGGCTGTCTTACAAATCTTGAAGGAAATGAAATAATAAAGCTAGGCCTATGCAACACCCTAATGTTATTACATTATTATGACAACTCATATTCCTATGTCCTAGCCTATTTCTAGAACACTACTAAATACACACATGATGTCCTAACAAGTCAATGCCTGAACACTTTTATAACGTTCTAAAATATAAACAACCTCCATGCCTACAACATCTAAGTGAGGAGTCAACACTTACTCTGCAGACAACTGACCATCGGGTCCAGCTGGTCTGGGACGCTTCTTCCAGTTGATCTTGGGAACATGGAAGAACGTTCTCAGGACCCCTTCATTGAGGAGGGCAGGGAAGTCGCTGTTGTTTGTGATGCAGACAGCAGCTGCTGCAACTCCGACATCCTCATCAATTGAAAGGTTCTGTATCTCGGGCATTACTAAATCCCACTCGTGTCAACAGTAGCATTCCACCTCTGTCTGCATTAATTCGCACTTGAAACAAGTGCACCATGATTTGTCGGCCACCCTGGATATCGCAGCTCCAGCTGTGGCTCCTGCGGCTCCGGCTTCAGCTTCCATCACAACTCTGTCCACCTCTCTCTTTCTGCCCGATCTAACTCCATTTGTCGAAGTTCATCGTCAGTGTACTCGGGTTCATAAAGATATCCCTTTGGCTCTAAGTGGAAGTCGATGTTTTCCTCGTCGCTCTCGTAGTCAGACATCTTCCCCAAGAGTAAACAATCGCGAATCAAACAGGTAGGCCCTAGCTGTCAGGTCATGGTGTCGCGCGCACTGATACGAACAGAGAGAAAATAGGACCAAGTGATAACGACGCGTGACTTTTTCCACTACAATGTTTTTGGGATGCAAAAATATCACTCTTTTGAACACATAATGTTTTGGGAAGAGAAACGTTTTATTTCGCTGGTCCTAAAAACCTGCCGGACTACTTTCGGCTTGACCAAAGCTGGACGAGAACTCTGCTCACAGGATGCTGCCAGGGGTAAGTCAGTGTGATTGCATGACACTGGTGATGAGGATGCCATACAGATTCATGTCAAAAATCCCGAACTATCCCTTTAAGATACTTCAGTTTATTTATCAACTCATCCATATTTTCAACAGATCTGTCATCCAGAGCTATTATACCTCTAATACCTCTGCTTCTCATGGTCTATTCACTATTAAAAAAATTGTCAGATTAGTGTAACAGGCTAATTTACCAGTAGATAGATGGTTGTTATATTGTTTACTCGGAGGTTCATTTTTTTAAAGGACTGCAGGATTTTCTGTAATGGCAGACACCATCTTGCTGACATTGAAGGAAGGAATCTTATCAGCGACTGGAAGTGATCACCTGGAAATGAAAGAAAATCATAAATCAAACTGACGTCTTCATTTCACTAAACTATCTATCTATCTATCTATCTATCTATCTATCTATCTATCTATCTATCTATCTATCTATCTATCTATCTATCTATCTATCTATGTCTGTAACATTTTGTATTTAAGATGTATAGGAAAAACCCAATTTGGTCTGTCAATATCCACAACTCCATCCATCCATCCATCCATTATCTGACACACTTGTCCAGAGTGGGGTGCTGGTGTCTATCTCCAGCAGTCAATGGATTAGAGGCGGGGTCCACCCTGGACAGGTCGCCATCCATCGCAGGGCAACACAGAGACACAAAATCATTCAGACACACACTCACACCTAAGGACAATTTAGAGAAGCAATTAACCTAACAGTCATGTTTTTGGACTGTGAGAGGAAACCAGAGTACCCGGAGAGAACCCACGCATGCTCAGGGAGAACATGCAAACTTATTTGCAGCCCTAATAGATGTAAGCCCTAATAAGACACTGTGTATATTTTAGGTCCAAAGAATTTAAAATCCTCCTCCTGAGGAAAATACGAGGATGTTTATTATGGCTGTATTATCAAAAGGTGTATTGACATTACTCTAGATCAGGCATCCCCAACCTCGGTCCTCGAAGCTGTCCTGCAGGTTTTAGAGGTTTGATTGCTCCAGCACAGCTGGTTTTAATTGAAAGCTGATGGTTTTAATTGCTTTTGGTCTACTGCAATCATTATAATCTGCTGTGCTAAAGCAGGGAAACCTCTAAAACCTGCAGGACAGGGATGCCTGATCTAGATCATTACAGTGTTTAGCTCCTCGTTAAAGATAAAAAAGCAAAGTTCAGACATTTAAAAAGGTTCAACCTGGATAGTTTTTTATAGGTTTACAGACCTTTATTTTCTCCCCACGAATCGTGATTTTCCAGCGCTTCTTTAAGTCTCCTCTTCATTTAAGGCAGCATCTAACTGTTCCTGTTCTCTAAAATGTCGCCGTGTCAATTTTAAGGAAATAGACTTTAGAAAAACAACCTGCTCTGTGAAAAAATAAGAGACACTTAGATCTACAGGATCGATTTAAGTTTTATATTTTAAGTTTCATATTTCTGTACTTACCAGAGACGTGGCTCTGCATCACCAGCTTTTCATGAATTATACCTAAGGTTTATATTTTAAAACCTGATTGACCTGATTGGAGAAAACGGAAGTGTCCAATTTTCATGCAGACTAAAGATCATGTGGGCAAGACCGCAGTTGTTCTACTTCCCATAAAAAATTAGTGAACTAAAGTTCTTTTTTAGAAATAAATAAACCCAAAACGGTACACTTTTAACCGGACCGAGGCGAAGGTGGATATTGGATATTCAAGCTCCACGTTGTCAGCGGGATCAAGCTCACGGTTGATCCCATTGATGGACTGAGATTTCGGCCAGCGTCTCTCAGCTGCTCCCTCCTCCTGCTGTGGTGCAGTTAGGGACAGAAAACTAATTTTTGTTTCAAGCAGGCTTGTACGGAGCCCCTCTGATGACATGGTCAAAAAAAAATTTTTATTGTGGCCACGAAGTAGTATTTCGTGGCTACGCAATAAGTTTATCGTGCGCACGAAATACTTATTAATAATATTAATATCATTCCTGGACAACTGGGTAAGCAAATCGAGCGCGCCTTCTCTAAGGTCTAAGGCGCGCTCGATTTGCTTACCCAGTCGGTCTCCGTCAGTCACGTGACATTTGTTGCTAAGACGCCATTTTAGGTGGAAAAGGCGTAGTGTAAACAACCGCAGCATAGCTAAACGAAGGACTAAAGGCCCGTTTACATAGCAGCCTGTCCAAGATAAGTAATTACAGTTAACATAAGCCTGAAAACAGGGGCGGATTTATTGATATTATTAATAAGTATTTCGTGCGCACGAAATACTACTTCGTGGCCACAATTAAACATTTTTTTTGACCATGTCATCAGAGG